GTCCTAAACTTGGAAATATACTTAAGATGTCTATCCAACTCCGTCTCTTCCTATTGAACTACTAGTTGTGGTATCGGTTGAGGTGTCGGTTGTGGCATCCACACAACATTAGCCCGAACAATGTTTTGTAGGGCCTCTATCATAGTTTACAACACTTGGGTCCCATCCATTTACATAATTAGATCAACATTACCCTGCCTGCCTTGCCCCATCTAGGTAGGACCAAATCCCGTAAAAGCATCCCCTCATCTATTTGCTCCACGGGATTAGAGCTAAAACTTTCCTCGGTATCCCTCCGTGGTGGCATGACAATATAAAATAAGGATAAGGCTCAATAACAATGAAATTATATAATCCTCTTGAGAACGGAGTCCTCACACAATTCACTCGACATGAAGGATAAACACTTAAGTACACTATACACATTGTCATGCAATATACACATCAACTTTAATATATAACACATAATAAGTAAGCATGCTTCAAAAAATATTAACACATTATCACTTAAACATGTAAGTAAATCAAGTCAACACTTTACCCCTCTTAGGTAGGCCTCTACCTATCGTCCTACTGATTTTCGAACAATTGCTCTGATACCAAGTCTGTAATGACCCAACTCTGGTGGATCTGAGTCATTAACGGTTACGATTACGAATCCGGGTTCTTGTCCATGTGAACCGGTCGATTCAAGGATAGTATAGTCATTTCTAGGTTCATTATGGGTTTAATGCATTCCATGGGTTCATGAGAAACAATAAAGAGTCACGGAATAACTAGGAGATGGACTGGGAGAGTATAAAATAAAAAGGGATAATTCTAAAAAAATTGTGTTTTAGTGGTCAAATGCCAAAAAGGTGGAGTCAAACTCAAGTTTTTCAAATTAATGGAGATTTATGAAATGTTGACATGGACATGGAAATTTACTGTAGATCTTCATTTAATTCCTAAACTGCCGGTTGCGAAATGACCCAACTACCCATTCAATTGATTGCCCTCTCTCTCTCTCTTCATCTCTTTTAGATTGGCAGAATCATCTACAAATGGTTCTCGAGTCCCAGGAGGATTCTTTGGAGAAAATTTCTACATATCACAAATATATCAGAACAATAGGTAAAAGTATGAGAATATTATAAGACCAAAAAAAAAAAAAACTAACTGCAACTATATACTAAAAAGGGGTTGAAATATCAATGAGAAATTGACAGGAGTGTATATATATATATATATATATATATATATAAGTGAAAAATTGACTAAAAGTATGAATTTGATAGGGAACAACTATTCATCAGACACGCCATTCATAAGCTGATTCAACATTGGTGAGCTGTTTGTCTAATTAGAATTTTGGGGATGCCTAATTGTTTGTTTAAAACTGCCCAATTAATTTTAATTGTCAGTAGTCATGATCTATTTTATTATGAAAACCCATTACTGTTGGGTGTCTATGTGTTGATTATTCGATGATTTCATTATAGTTTGTATTTACTAATTTTATTGTCTTTTTTTATTCTTCCTATTTATGTTCATTTGGTTATAATTCTGAGGTTTTTTTCATATATTTTATTTGTTGAATAAAAACCACACATTGAGGGAAAAAAATATAAACAAAAGTAACGAAAATCAAGCCGATATGGTGATATGTAATGGCGAGATACAGATGTATAATTGTGAATTCAATTAGTAAAATTAGTAATGGGTAATTGTATAATTTCACAACAATTATAGGATGGGCAATTTGGGAATCAAAACAAAATCTACAATAAAATTTTATGTCCAAGTCACCATTTGATAAAACTCCATTAATTTAAAAAACTTAAGTTTGACTACACTTATTTCATATTTCACCATCAAAACATTATTTTTTTTGAAATTATTCCAAATAAAAAAACAGGTGGCTGTCAAATTGATGGGACAACCCGGTCGACCGAAAGTGCCCAGGTGTGCACTCTTGGCCCTGTTAATGGTTAGGTACTTAGATCCTCCCAATAACTTTGATACCTAAATAAATGGCCTTAAACCTGTCCAAAAACATAAATGAATACATAATGAAGACCCGCAATTACATCAATGAGGCGAAACCATGAACGTCACCAAAAGACCCCTTCTCATTCATTCATATACAAAAATATATCTAGTTGATAATTGCATAGTCATTAAATGAGGTTTAACAAAATAACAAGGTCACAATGCCTTGTAAAGAGGGTTACAAAAAAATACAAGTTCATGGTCAAAAACTTCACAAGAGCTAACATCATTGCAAAATGTATCAAAAACAAATACAAGCCCACATCTAAACTTACGAGGCGCGTCATCCACAATCTCCTTTCTGTGTCCTAAAATGTTAAGAAAAGTGTGAGAGAGTAGAAAGAGTTGCAGAAGTTTTGGGTTTTGGGTGAGGCTAGAGAGAGAAACACGTGGTTAATAGCTGAATGGTAATTATGTCATTTAAAAATTATAATATTTTAGATCAAAAAATCAATTTATCATTTAAAGGCAAAATAAGACATTTCATTCATTTTTAGGCCTTATTTGGATCTAATATCTGACACGGGGTGTGAGTGTTAAAAAATAAGCTAACTTTCTTATGCAAATCTCAGTGAGTGTAAATGTAATTAACTTAAAAAATCATACAATGTAAAATGACCATTTTAAACAATTCCCAACAAACTTTGTTTGGGATGACACTACAGCAAACATCAAACACCCACCTTTTTGTATGTGTTTGCTCCTTATATATAAACCCGAAGCCAATATATTTTGTATGTTAGAAGGCTCCCAATCTTAGTCTCAAACCCGAACTTGTTCTGCATCTACAAATTGCCTTTACAATTGCTCTCCTACTAGCATTTCCGGCCACTTTCTCTCTCTACATCACAGGCACACACACATGTGCATACTCCCTCTACACACATATATATAGATTATGTGTATCTTCTTCCAAGTAATTCTTAAAAGGTTTTTTGTCATCAAAAAGTTAATGATAAAGTGCTTCCTTTTGTCACCGGTCACCGGAGTGCTATGGAATTACACAGTTGGAAGACTTAGCATCGTTTGTTTCAATGTGTAATATTTTCTTTGTAAAATGTTATCTATGTAAAAAATAATAATATTCATGTAAAATGCTTTTTATCTTCTGTTTTTTATTTTATCTTATTTTATTTTTTTGTGCTTCGCGAAGACTCAAAACAAAAATTTCAAAAATTATTTTTTTGTATTTGGTTACAGAAAAATATTTCCAAATGAAAATCAAATCCCTTATAAAAATAAAACTTGATTTCTTTTCAAAGTAATGATATTCCAAGTCACATTTATCCAACATATGTCTCTCTCCAACCTAAAACTATAGTTTGTTTCAATGTGTAATATTTTCTTTGTAAAATGTTATCTATGTAAAAAAAATTATGTCAAATGCTTTTTTATCTTTTTTTTTTTATCTTTTGGCTTGGCATAGGTTCAAAAATATATATATATTCAAAAAATATTTTTTAGGGTATGGTGACGGAAAATTATTTTCAAATGAAAATCAAATCACTTATAAAAATAAAACTCGCTTTCTTATCAAACCAATGACTTTGCCAAGTCACATTTATCCAACATATGTCTCTCTTACCTATCCATTAGTCTAACTATTTATGTTCGAATAATATCAATCATATAATATTTATAAAAAGAACTAATCCTAACACCTGCTAAGTTATTGATAATTAATTGGCGAGAAAATATCGAAAAATTAATTTAAAACTATTGTCTGTTTTCAATTTTTAGAAAATGTTTCACATTTCTCCGTTTGTTTGAGCGTGGTGTTTGGTTGTTGTAAAGTATTACAAAGAAAAAAAAGATTAAAACCTAATAAAAATAACTTATTAATTAATTTTCGACAAGCTATTTTATATGCCCCACTCGATGGATTTGACCTCAATTTCGATTTAGACATTTTCTAAACACGGAAAAATAAAAAAAATTAAAAAATATTTTAACTGAAAAAAATATATATATTTCACATCGAAACAAACCAAGCCCATCGTTCCACGGAGAGGGAGAATCGTATACTATCACAGGTTTGAGAGAGAAAAGGAGAGAGGTGAGGGTTTCAAAGATGATACCTTTTAGTGAGAGAGAAAGAGAGAGGAAGAAACACATTAGCTCGGAGTTGATCATGGTCATAGGGTTTCAAATTGTAAACTAACTTACCAAAAATATTTGAGGGATATCATTCTTATAGAAACTTGAGAAAATATTTAACTTGCATTTTAGGCAACTAAACATCAAAAAACTCTAATTTTTTTTTTTTTTTTAAAAATCCTTTTACTTCCAAACAAACGGGGCTTCATTTCACTCAAATTGCAACGTGGTAAAGTCGGGTTGGTAGCTTCTTTTGGAAAACGTAATCTGCTAGTTTAGATGTAAAATATTTATTGTGTAAATTGTAAAATCAATTACATGTTAAATAGATTTTTAACTATATTTTTTGGTGATTGGTAGATTCTTAAAAAAAAAATTAAAAAAAATCAAGAGTATCGCCAATTTAGAAACTAGCAATCAAGTTTTGAATTCATAAAACATCCGCAGACCCAAGGTGTCAGGTGTGCATATATATATATTCACATACACACACAAATACATATATATATATATATAAAACTCAGATCCAGAATTGTTGATTAAACATGATGAATCCAGTCATGAAACTCATAATCGGATTGTTGATTATTTTTTCTCATCTTGGTTTGTCAAAGCATGAAAGATGTTGGAGAAGAGGCAAGTGTAATGAAGGAGCTGCCAAGTTGGAAGGTTGTTTAAAGCATTTATCAGTGGAAGACATAAAATTCTGCCATCAAATAACAGCTCAAACTCAGTCATCATAAAGTTCTGCCATGTAATACCGCGCAGAAATAACCGCTCAACCTCTCTTTCTCTTATTCTCTCTCAGTTCTTCCTTCTATTTAAGTTGTTTCGATACCCTCCAATTCCAATACGCACCAAGTGAAGTGAAAATGGCAAAAGTTGTAGCACTCGTGGCCTATGCCCTCTGCCTCTTGGCCCTGTCTGGATATGCCACTGCCGCCGGCGACAAAAAAGACAGCAAGTTCACCGTCGAAGGCAAGGTTTACTGTGACCCATGTCGCGTCCAGTTCGTCACCAAATTGAGTCAATTCCTTGAAGGTAATTAAAATCATCATATTTATCATCATCATTCTTGGCTTTGTCCCATACCCATGAGGTTGGCAAACTAAATTTCTTTTCTATTATTTCCTATGTATAAACCATGTCTTCTAATTAAATCTAATTTTTTAAAGTCGTTTTTAATTAATTCATCTTATATAAGCTTTGGTCCGCCTTTTTGTGATCTACCTTTCAGACAAATAACTCCTCCTCTTTTAATCAAATTAATTCATCTTATATTAACCATATATATATATATATATGTTCTAACACTACTTGTTATTCAATGAGTGCACGCAATGAAGATATAAAAACTACCGCAATACATAGAAAGTTAATGCAAGGTCTTTTTGCACAAGTGATCCGGATGTATGGAAAATTATATTTAGGCAGAAGAGTTGACACTTTGCATCCATAGTGGGGCATCTCAGATATGCAAAGTGTTTGACGGAAGACTTGAGCTGAAATAGCAAAGTTTAAAATGTATTTGTTTTTACCATTACTATTTTTAGTAGTTGGTAATATCATGTCATAAATATTGCAAGAATATTAAGGTTTCTTTTCCCCTCGATTGTGCAGGTGTGGATGTGGCCTTGCTTTGCACAAATCCGGTGACTGGAAATGTGACGTACTCCGTTAACGGAAAAACTGGCAAAGATGGGAGCTATTGTCTAAAGGCCGAAGGAGATCACGGTGATGAGGTTTGTGAGGTGAAGGTGGCGACAAGCCCCCAACCTAACACCTGCGGTGAAGCCATGGACGAAACAGCCCCAGTTTTTCTTACAGATATTGAATCAAACACCGATATTCGCTACGCTAACTACATCGGCTTCATGAAGAAGGACCCCGACGCCGAGTGCACCAAAGCGCTCGAGGAGTTGGGTATCTACCCTGGTGATCCTGATGAGGATGTCGCTGCTGAAGATCCACCTGCTAATGAAGGATCTGCTACTGTAGTACCTGCTCCTGAAGGATCTACTCTTGAAGAACTTGCACTACCTGCTGATAATTAAATTAAATAAGCTAGCCACATTAATTCCATGCATGTATAATGTATTTGGTATTTGCATAACTTAATAACAATCCACTTCTCTTGCATGTATAATGTATTTGGAATTTGCATAACTTAATAACAATCCACTTCTCTTGCATGTATCAACGTTCATAGTAATTTAATTGCTATATTTGCAATTATAATGACAACAAGTACTTGAGTTGATAAATCCATTATATGAATGTTTTGGCCTTAATTTTCCTTTGAAGGGCCACAATTAATTGGAGAGCAATTGATGAATTATATGTATTTTCATGTATTGCGATGAATGAGTAAATTAATCAAGTGCCTTAATTTTCATATATCGTAAGGTCTGTAGTATATATGTGGATAGTGGTATGTATAAGTTCATTAATAATTACAGGAAAATATTAATGAAACTTGAAAGTAAATATGCATATAATTTGCTTTTATGGACAAATTAAGGGTTCATAAATCATAATAGAAATGCATATATAAATTGAATGTGATTAATTTAAAATAACGAGCATAATTCGCCATTATCAATCCTCATGAAGCTAGCCTTTAGTTTAATGTTGCCTACATAAGTGCTTCTTATATATATTAGGAAAAAACACGTGCGTGATTAAATATAAGTTTAAAAATAAATAAAAATAAAATAAGTATTTTAATTTTACTACAAATGCAAAGTTTGTTAAACATTCAAAATGTCCTAGTTAATTTGTTAAAGTGTTCATGAATAACTTGCTATTAAAAGTATATAGAAATTTTATTTTATATTTTTTTCTTTCTTTTTTTAATATACACTTTTAATTACTTTAATAGTTACAACTCTTGATTTTTCTGTTACTCTCAATTTTTACCTCATTCATCATTCATAATCTAAACCAACATCGTACCTATAGCTTTCTTGAAATTTAATTGTTGAAAATGAAATGATTGTGAGATAAAAGGTCTAATTTCACCTTCTACTTCGTACCATTATAGAATTTTTCTACTAGTATGTTAAGCATCTAACATATTATACAACTCATTCATATTTTTGGCATTTCACATTATAAATATAACATAAATTATGGAAAAAAAAATTTTTTTTTTTAGGGATAACTGGTAAGCCTGTATTGAATAAAGAGAGTGTACAAAGGAAAAGAGACGAGAAAAAAACACAACAAAGCACCACTAGGCGCAACCAAGAGCCATCACAGTAGATGAGCCTAACAAGCAACAAGAATCCTATCCGGCTAACAAGAGATGACCATGAGCTATTGAACAGCCTGGTTAAATAAGTGCACCAAGTCTTCAGATTTATCAACTTGTCTGAGCTCAGCTGTGCTTCTCAACTTGATAGAAGCTAATCTGCATCTGATGCAATTCTTGATGAGGTTGATTATGTGTTGTGTAGAAGAGGATTTATGGAAACTTGTGTGAGATATATTTTTGTAAATTGGCATATTTCGGTAACAAAACAAGTTCTAGTCGAGTTGTAATTTCAGTTACCATATCCGACTTGACATCGACTGCAGAATTGGAAATTTGTTCAGAAAAAGAAAGTACTGTTGACCATCAAAAAAGAAAAAATAACGATTAGGACATCGTTTCCCACTTAGGACACATTGATACACATGGTATATTTTCAGAGTTCCAAAAATATAGAATTTCCAAGTTAATATTGGATTCTGTCAAATGGGAACTGGTACCTAAATTTGAGAACCAGTTCCAGAAGCTATATTCGAGAACAACTCTCTGTCCTTTGGAAAACGGTACCAAGATTGGGAACCGGTTTCACATGTCCAGATTGCAAAAGGATTCCAGTTACCTTGTTCTGTTTAATTCATTTTCAATCCAACTTTCTTTCTAAGTCCTATGCACGAAATTTTCTTTATTTTCAGAAGGAATAGGACTTTGCCAACCTCCATATAAACCATGTCATATACATTGGTTTATTCACGACTTTTACATTATTGTTCAGATATTATTCAAAACGTTAGGAAGATTATTTTTGCAGAAAATCAGAATTGATTTTTCTGACATCTTTCTAGAACACACACTTAAATACATAGTGAGTTTAGAGTTGTGGTGTTACACTACAAAAAAAAAAAAAAAAAAAAAAAAAAAAAAAAAAAAAGGGGGGGGTCTTTTACGAGTGGCTAGACCTCCCGTGAAAACCATTTCACAGGACTTCTGAACCCCTCGTTTATTATGGTCTTGTAAATACTCTCAACTTTCTACGGGAAATAATAACACTCGTAAAAGAGTAAGCATGACAAATCTAAAACTCTCACGAGATTACTAGCCTCTCATTAATAATTAATTTACTAGACTAATGGCCTTTTGTTAATAATTAATTTACGAGATAGATGGCATCTCATTAATAATTAATGTAAGAGTTATTTAGCCTCTCATTAATAATTAATGTACGAGTTATTTAGCCTCTCGTTAATAATTAATGTAATGACACATTTGGCCTCTCGTCAATATATCTACATTTTTTATTTACAAGTTCTAAAGCCCCCTGTATATAGCTATATATATATATTTATATATTTGTATAATAAATGCACCCTGCTAGCCAATCATTCACAAATATATCCTAGCCACAATTTTAACTAAATAATAATATAAAATGCTAAAAAATTGCACTTCAATGCCAATTCCCAAAACATTCCATATTTAAATTCACCATTAAACATACCAAAAGAGTAAGAAATTTTACAATTCATCATTGTTCAATGTGCCAAAATTAAAAAGAAAATCCAATATTTGCCAAAAATAGATCAATATGTCAATCTTCACATTGTTCATTAATTTCTGGCACAAGTTGACTTCCAATTTTTCACACTTCCTCCACCTTGTTATCCATGGTATAAAATCCAAGTATGTACCTGCATCACAAAAGTCTTAATTCTAGTATGATAATAATGTATATGAAGTCATGAACTACTAGTAGAGAAAATATATACGAAGAATTAAAATAGAACTAAAGAGACGCAAGGTAGAAGTGCAAAATGACTGTTGTTGTGTCCCCATTATATCCCAAGTACATATACACAATAAAATGCTAGTTTTCTATTTCATATTCTCTAAAACATTTACCAAGGTATGAACATAAAAAATGGAGTCCCACTCTTTGAAAAGCCAACAATAAAAAAAACCCCAAAAAGAAACATACAATCCACATGTCCATACTTTAGTTCATCATATTGGAACGTTAATATCACAAAGCAGAATTACTAATTTTGGAGCTTAATTCCACTGCAGGTTTTTACAAACTATTTAACTGTGTGTTTCATATTGTGAAACAAATCATTTAGTACTAATTTTAGAGCTTCCAATGCTTGCAAGGTTGATAAACAATATAACAGTGTGTTTTGCTTTGTGAAACTGATCAATGACTAAGAAAAGAAAACAAATGTGTTTTTTACTTACTTTTGTGGAGAGCGTTTGAATCTCGCTCTGATATATTAATCCCCTCATTTCCTTGATTCCTTAATGTAGTCACAGTAACATTTCGCTCCCTTCCTCTCTTTTTTGGACCCATTTTGGAGGACTTTAGGAACAACACATGCATTATAAGAAAAGAAAACAAACCATTACAACACATGCAAGATAAGAAAAGAAAACAAACCATTACAAGTTAATATAAGTCATCAAAAAAAAAATTAAATAAATGTGTTTTTTACTTACTTTTGTGGGACCACGCATGCTAAAATTTGACTATCTTTTTCCCTCTTCAATTTCCTCCAATGCTTTCATAATGAGAATGATCTATTTATAAAAACAAAAAGTCCAGTGTTATATAGTTATAAGAGATACATAAGATGCAATGAATCAATTAACATCGATATATATATATATATAAACAGACACATAATACAGATGACAAATAAACAAGTAGTGAAGTTATGGTTGAAAATTTTATATTTAGTGTAATTAAACTGTGTGACTGAATAAAAGCTCATTTGCAGAGAGTCATCATCAGATTCATCAATTATATGCAATTCAAATTTAGCCCAAATAGAAACACCATATTTGGAACGAAGTATATCAATGTTAGTAAGTTGATGTCTAGAGATTTGTGACCCATCGAAGCTTTATGGGGTGGAGTCAAGTGGGGTCAATAGGAATTATCATAGACAAGGTTAGAGCACTATACAACCTGATACTTCAAAGAAAAAGAGAGCAAATATTAAAAGAAATAAAAACGGAGAATTTATTTATCACTTCTTTCTTTTGGTTTGTAAATTTTTTTTTCCCTAAATGGAGGAAATTTTCTATTAAATGAACAATATAGTACAAGGGAAATTAATGAGGGCATACCCTCACACAAAGATCACACAAAGCATATGAAGAAACCAACATAAATGTGGTTGCCCTCACCAACTTAACACACAAGGACCCTAAAGAAAACAGGACAGAACCAGCTCAAAAACTCAAAGCCCTCACAAGGCACAAACACACACAGTCCCCAAAGGAAGAAGGAAAAAACAGAATAACTAGTTTTAACTAATATAACTACCATTCGATTATATCATCATCTTGATCAAAAGCATCATAATTATCAAATTTGAAAAGGAAATTAAATATTTAAGTAATTGACCAAAAGTTGGATATCTTTTTGGAAATGATAAAAGTTGGACTTATATATATATAAGGATGATATATGATAATTTCTTCAATATAGAACTGAGTAGCGAAAATTAGTGTCGTTGAGATCCCACCATTTTGTTTATTGGTGTATTCTTTTCTACTACAAAAATTAATTTAGTGGTATATTCAAAAGTGCCTTTTCTTAAATTGCATATACACAAGCATATATATATGTATATTGGAATACATGTGATCCATTAGGTGTTCAGAGTTTTTCTGTTTGCTCAAACACACGGGATTAAAAAGTCATTGATAAATTGTGAAAATATTGACCACAGGTTAATGTAATGGTGGGGCAAAAAAATTGAAAATTTAAATAAGTTAGTTTTTTTATTATTAACAAGTTAGTTT